CACTTGAAGCAACTTGACTTAAATAAAGAATTCCTGCGCATCCCGGCTAAAAAAACAGGAGAAGAAATAAAAACTGGGGCTAACAGAAACAATGCCCTCTGTATGTGTGTGTATGTGTGTGTGTGTATGGGTGTGAGTGAAAGTGAAGGCATATAGAAATGGATGAAATGTGTTTTTGGGTCAGGCCACTTGAAGCATTGCGAGCAGGAAGTCAAAGCAAGGCGATGCGCCACAAATGCAACCAAATTGTTGCAGTAAATATTGTTTGCCAAATGGCACACACCAACACACACACACACACCAACACACACCCATACCAACACACAATGCAATGCAGCCACAATGCGCACAGCTTGAGCGGCCCCCTAAGGCGGCCTACGTAATTAGGGGAAATGGAAAATGTGGCAAATGCAACGCGCAAAAGCCAACTCTGTCTGTCCGTCTGTCCATCTGTCCGGCCGTCTGTGCGTCAGTCAGGAAATAACAATGACAGCAGCTACCGTAGCCCACTTTTTGCAGCACTTGAAAACCTTTGCTGGCTGGCATTCGCTCAGCTCTTCTATTTTGCTTTTGTTTTTTGTTTTTTTTTTTTTTTTTGCATTTGCAATTTCTGCACAATTAGTTTTCCATTTGTGTTTGCGGTCTTGTTGCATGCACCTTGGAGAGCTGCTTCAGCACAGACTGCCAATTAATTAATTTATTGAGCATTTCGCAAATTGAGCAGAGAAACTCTTACACACACACATGAACACATTCACACATACATGGTCTTAAAAAAAAAAACAAGTAAATTGAAAATATGAAATGAAGTAAAGCATTTCGTAGTCATGCGGAAAATGTTCGGAAAAGCGATTGGTCTCTCATGCACAGCTCGCAATTATTATTAGATTTCCTTCTGTTGGCAGAAAGCTCTTTGGTAAATTAATACCCTCGAGCTATTACTCTCATATTAAAATTTATCGATTTTCTGTTCAATTAACGAAGAAACTGAAGGTCAGGCGGAATGTTAGAGATGGATTAAGTACATATAATATCATGTTACAGTTATGTATATTATGCACATGTTTTACCATCTGCTTACATGTTTATATCTCGAGAACTACCAGAGCTATAGAGCTGAAATTTCAATAATATATAGCCCTCTATATATCGAAGCATAAGTAAGTTACATTTATCCAACAGCCCCAATAATTTTCCTTTAGTTTGTATATCAATTGTAACTATTCAAACTATTCATATGCAAATACTGAATATCATTTGATATTAACTGCATATTTTCCAGTTAAACATTCCTTATATACCTAAATGTATCTACCATCTATCGTTAAATTTATTACTCTATCAGCCTACTCTCTAATTAAGCTTAAGTTCATAGAACACACACAATAGCCATACGCATATCAATTGAAGCCATGTTTCGAAATGATTCAAGAATGATTTGCTGACTTTTAGTCAATTTATATTTCTTTTGTTGTTTTCCTATCGTTTAGCTCAAAGTCATGAAGAGATTAACAAGCACTTAATCGAGCAATTAAGAGTTTCAAGACTCAGCGCCGAGCACCAGCTCAACCCTTAGTGGCAAAGTTCTCAAGTTTTTACTTTGTATGTGCCTGGGTGTGTTTGTGCCTGTGTGCGTGGGTGTATATAAACGCCTGTGGGGCCACATGACGCAGTAACAGCCATCGCAGCAGCTTAAATTTATTGATTGTTTCATAAACAGCGATTATTTAACCACCACATTTCGATTTGGCACTAAGGGAGGGAGGGAGGGGGGGTGCGGAACCCACTCTCTATTACAGACACTTGTGGCCGCTGTACAGCGTTGAGCGCCAAAAGCCCTTGAAATGGGAAGCCCCCCCTCACACACACACACACACACAGGCACACACTCGCATACAATCACACTCTCACATGGCATTCATCTGTGCGCTCTTCACAACTTGTGGGCTGTAAATTTGCATGCGACAGCAAATACTTAATACTGGACACGCTGTACTATGGGAAGTGTTTGATTATTCTTCGGATAAATTTAGACTAACAGAGAAATCG